AACAATGTTTCATTGCGGAGGACCCCCTGTTTTGTGTCCCCCCCACTTCTCAAACCAAAGTTACACCCTTGTGTACTTCTACTGACCTGTGTGAGAGCACTGCAAAGGTGCGGTCTCTCTGGATGATGCTCCGCATCATGCTGACCTCCTGCGGTCTGAAGAGCTGCAGAGGCAGCGTCTGGCCGGGCACCAGCATCACAGCCGTGTGAGGCAGCACAGGGATGGTCTGACAGCTGTCCTCATCGTGGACCGTACGGCCGTGGAACTCCTCCATGTCTGAGCCCAGGTACTGCCAGCACAACAAACAGTCAACACCACCAGACCACAACAGCTGCTACTACCTTACTGCTGAATGATCAATTAGTAATTGATGTTAAAAAATCTCCATTTGGGCCATTATCGGTAGAAATAAAAGTGGCATGACTCACAGAATGTGATGTGGGAAGACTGGGATCAAAGTTGATGGTGGTGTGCTTCTCTGTCCCCTCACTGTCTCGTTCTTCAGTCTCCATGTCATCTTCCATGTTATCTTCCTCCTCCTCTTCCTCATTATCTGTCATAGCACACAAGCACAGTGGTGAGTCTAGTGTGCAGCTGCAACTTTAGATACATTAGAGTAGTTTAGATTAGATCTACTTTATTGTGCACCTCAATGGATATGTGCAGGGGTGCACATAAGTGGTACGCAGGTACGCATGCGCGGCAACAATCTGAAATGTGTACCGTCACTTGTGTCACAAAGCGCATTTGCGTACCGATGTATATGTGAAGCTTTTCCATAAGGCGGTTAGATAACCGGACGACGGAGTCGGTCTCCGTGTGCAAAGACAGGGCTGCTGTTAACGTCGGCCTGTACAGCAGCACTGCGCTAAAACAGCTGATCACAACGTTCACACGCTCTGTGGTCACGAAGCTCTGCACTCTACTACTACCCCCCCACCCCCCCGTTGACATTCGCGATACAGAGGGCTTCATCATACTCCACTAGCACCCCCACCCGCTGATATTCGCGATACAGAGGGCTTCATGGGAACTTTGAGGGGAGCCGGAAGTTGGAGTACCAAACACTGACTCCAGGTACTCATCTGAGTACCTCACTGAGAAAGTTGTGTGCACCCCTGTTTATAGACTCAATGTGTAATACGTTTTGAAAGGATGTTTACTCAACACTGATATCAACCTGTATTTCATTATTACTGAGTAATTCTCTGCCTCATGTCATCCTTGATAAGGGCGTTATGTACCACTTTTGCCTAAAAAGTCATGGTTTCTGGAAAAGTATTTATTCGTCAGCCTGGTTCTTGAGAAGTGATGTCCTGGAATTTCTGATTTTTCCAATCCAGCTTTCTGGAATCCATTTATATGGCCCAACTATTTAGTGGGAATCTGCTGAGTTACTGTCTCAACATGACCGAATTCATTCCATCGAACGTAATTTGAACCCCACATTTGGATCAGTCACTGAGTGAGGCTTTTCCACTTCTGCAAACATTAATGAAACCCAGATGAAACTATTTAATTGTGAGGGTGTGACGTCCCTGGAAACTTCATTTCGATCCTCAGCCTTACACTTCTGGCCCATCCTATCTCTTGGGGAAGCTAGAAACATCAGGAAATAATGAAGTTGAGGACGTTTTTAAGTGATTTTGCCTGTCTTTCCTACACCAGCAAACCTAATCGAGGTGTTGTTGTTGTGCAGGGACTCGGGTCTTCACCGTTTGGTTACAAAAAGAAAAACAGCAGCATGTGGCAACCAGAAGCAGGAAACAGGTGCTAAAACAAAAACAGTTTAACCAACGTATTACAAAAACTGTGT